TCTGCTTAATGGATCTTCATGGCTCAACTTCCATTTAAACACAGCACCTCTTTTACAAGGCCTAAGTGCTACAAAACAGCCTGTCTATAAATTAAAGTCAGCCTGTGTGCATCTGCGCTTGGGAATGCTTTTGAAAGGGTTTTAAAAGCAATCAATTACAATAATTTGTACATTTAAAGATGCAACTCCAACAGTCAATCCAATTTTTCTTCTGATTATAAGGTAAATGTGAATGCCAGCTTGTTACTACTCCTGGGGTTTATCTCTGCACAGAAATCGTATCATTTTAGGGAGAAATGCAGAACATATTTCACGCTTGTCTATGCATTTTTTTGTTCACTTGGATTATGATACCTTTGAAATTAAAGTGCAGCCGCAGTTTGTGAATGATTTAGTGTGTTAGACACTTTTACTCTCAAGTAGAAGTAACTTGTTTGTTAATCCAAATGTAAGTTCTACCAAATTGGAATAGGTTCTCATCATCTGGAACAAAAATACCCAAGCCTTATCCTGATGTAGCAATATCTCATACGGAATTAATGTGCAGACCAAGGCTTCATTAAACACCACGTTCCTATAGGTTGATAGCTCCTATAGGGCTGACATTCTACGTTTCCCATTCTTTCAGCCTGGGAGCCTTCACAGCACTGAGGCCGATGGGAACTCACTGCACAGCCCTTGCACACTCTGTGAAGCAGTTGCAGCCCCACTCCTCCAGCGAACGAGCGATCGATGCTGCTCTGCAGTAGGGAACCACACAGCTGCCAGCCTGCTCAGTAGATCGCATGTGGCGAACAGGGAACACTGCGCAAAGGGTGTGAATGAGTCATCCGACATTTGAGGTTGACTGAAGTCATTCCGCTACATTTACTTCTAATCTTGATGTGCTATCCGCATTTGCATTTCGAGCAGAATGGGAAGAAAGATTTAAATTATTTGCTATGCAGCGGACTGCATGTGTTCAAGAATGTATTGAGGTGTTCAAGAAAAGGGTAGAAGGTGTTTAAGGACTGTGTGGATGTGGCACTGAAGGACATGGTCAGTAGGCATGGGGATAGGCTAGAGGTTGGACTGGGTGACCTTAGAGATCTTCTCCAACCTTAATGGCTCTCTGTGTGTGAGCAAATGGGATTATATGCACGTTGGGGTGAAGGCAGCAGGCTGCGAGTTGCCTTTGCTACACTTGGATGTGAGCAGGCACTGCATGCAAGCCTGAGCAAATCCAAGCAAGAGTATGTTTGAGCATTTGTGTCTCCAGGGACCTGATTATAAATGAAAGATGTTAATTTGCAGTATGCCTGAACGGAGGAGCAGAGGTCCCACAAGCACATTTCAGGTGATGCGTATGTTGTGTTTTCCTAAGCAAATACAAATCTGAGCAGCTGTGAATGCACTGGCCCACATACACTTGGAGGGTAGGCACGTGCTGCATGTGCACCTCTGTGACCAGGAGCAGCCATGAGCAAGTATCAGCTCAAGCTGAATTGAAGCATTTCTGGCATTTCTCAAACATCAGCAGTAGTGTTCAAATCATTTGAAGATTTTCATGGAAAGACTACATAGCAACCTCATAAACGCAATCAGACCTCACATGAAGCTCCTTCACTTCTGGCTCCAATTCTAGATAAAAGCAGAAATTTACAGCTTCTGACTGCTTACAGCTCCCACTGAAGTCAGATACATGTGTATTTAGCAACGTTAGGTGCGAAGCCATTTTTAAAGCATGCACACCTGTGAGTCTTTGGCACCTCAGTTCAAGCCCTCGGATTTGAAATTCTGGACAAATATTTTCTTAGCTCTAATTTTAGAAGAAGAAAAAGCAATCATTATGCAGATGAAGATCCTGACAAAATACTGCACAGAAGATATTTTCTGAAGGTGATGGAGGTGAGCATAAAAGATACTTCATGAGGCTGCTCAAAGGGCAACTTGCAAGGAGACTGAAGATAGAGAATCTGGCTGTGGATATAAAAGCAGGCCTACACAATAGCTAATGCTGAAGAAGGTAAAAGGTGGGGGAAGGAAAGCACTCTCACCTCAAGCTAAAAAACAGTGAGATTTGGTTTTGCACAGAGCTAACAACGTGTCTGCCTTAAAACAAGGCTTGCAGCATGTCACATAGGTAAAGGGCATTTTACCAAAATCTGCATTATTATTTCCTTTTTCTTTAAGTCCAAGTTATTTTAACCTTTAAATTGTTAAAATTTAGTAACTACTAAACACATTTCAGGCCACCCTTCCCCTGCACATCTATTCTGTAAGTTATTGATACTGCACTCAATTAACCTTGGTAAGTGACTGTAGGCTGGATGCTGCCTCACAGATTCAGTCATTCTTGCTCAAAGCCACAGTTTGCATGCAAACCACTGAATGGCAGCACTTAAATCTCCAAGTAAAATTGCCTTAATGGAAGCAAAATTGTACATACATGACATTTGTATTCATATTTGTATTCATACTAAGTCTCACATTTATTTATCTGAAAACCTGAACATTGGGCAAAATCTATGCAGATTTTGTCCTATTAAATAAAGAAGCAAATGCAATTATGATTCAAAAAGTTTACAAAAATGTATTTTCCTATTTCTTTGGGTGACAATTGAAGGCATATGACTGCAATTCCAACCTATGTACTATGCTTGTATTGGCTTTTGTAGAGAAGAGAAAATGGAATGAGCCGGAAATCCAATTTCTATTAGTGAGTCCACTCCGAAGAACACTTACTGAGGTACATAAAAGTCCAAAAGCTATCGGGAGTGGCAATGAATTAAAGAGAGGCTCCACACAAAGGAACTCACAGGTATCAGGACAGAAGCATGGCATGATCCACAACAGCTACAAACCAGTTCTCACACACCTGAGACCCAACTCTGGTTGCACCAGCACACGTAAATGAGAGCGTAACTGTTTCACCTTGTCCTTGCTCTCAAGCTGAGAACTGGTTGTGCACACATTTTAAGAAGCCAGCTTTTCAACATTACACTATGGTTTATGAGAACAAAGTATTATTTCCTCCATAACACAATAAAGCACCATGCACAGTTGTTTCTACGATTATCCTCCTGAATACACTGTGCTGATGGCAGTGTTGTCATGAGAATTACCTCACTGAAAACAAATGAGGGAATTTATATGATATTGCCAGTCTTTTGCGTTGCTCTTTGTGTTTCTATATTACATCTCTTCTTTTTTAACCTTTGGATTGTTTTCCCTATTTGTAATGCAAACTACTGGGAGCAGCAGGCTTTCACAAATGGCATTCTTCCACATGGGGCAAGTTCACAAAAACCAATGGGTTAGCATCATACAACAGTATTTGTCTTGACCAATCTTTAGCACGTACACGCTGCGCACTGCCCAAGTGCAACTTCTCCATTTGATTCCAGTTTCCAAGTGGCTTTCCATTACCTCAAGCTCTAAAGGAATATTTAGTGTAGTCTCTAAGTCTATATGGTTTAGTATTAGATACGGAGGTTGGCGACCCTGCATGCAGCAGAGGGGTTGGAGCTTGATGATCCTTGAGGTCCCTTCCAATCCAAGCCATTCTATGAACAGTTGGGTTAAAATGGATCTGTGGAGATCATCCACATCAAGCCCATGCTTCACTGCTCATGGCAGTGCTAACTTTGGAATCCCATATGATCAGGGTACAATTCAACATTTCTACAGTGACTACTCTAGCGGAATACCAGTCTTATGGAAGCAATAATATAAATCAGGTACCCGCGTAGATCAAAGGTGTACTGAAAATCATTTAGGTACAACATCTTCATTAAATGATTTGAGTTCTCCTTTCACTGTAAGTCACCTTAAAAGATTGTGGAGGAAAAAAATAATTAAAAAAGTGATATTGATTTCAGCGCTGGGCTCCAGTTATACAGTTGCGTATTGTCAAAACACGCAGTAAAGTGTAGCTAGCTTTACAATCATTTCCTGAATTTTGTATGGTTTATATCCTCACTGTATAATTAAAAAAAACAAAATCATTGTTTGTAGATAGAATTATGAAAAAAAGATAAAAGGAAATAAGGAAATTTCAGGACAGAAAACAAAACAACTTGGTTAAAATCGCCAGGCAAGACGCTCAAAGAGTACCTATGTTATGTACCTTAGCTTAAGGAATGTGCTCCTCTTCACCATACCTTTGAAAGTCTGCAGAATACAGCTTCAAGAGCTGCAAAGTATAGGAACCATATGAGTGTAGAAAGGGCTCTGCACTGGGAAACTACCAATGGCGAGAATCACTCATCATGAGATGTAAGCACGAACTTCTACAGGATTTAACACCTCAGAAAAACAATTAGCATGATTGCTTACTTGATGAACAGGGTGAATTTTATCCAAATTTAATACCATTGAAAACACTTGCAACACTGCACTTCTGCATGAAAAAACAAGCCCTCTCTTCACTGCATTTCCATTTTCTGTTCTGTACCAGTTTCTTCTCATATTTGTTTCACCTGCTATCAGATTTAGGAAACTATAAGTATCAGTTTCATTACTACTCCATATCTTGCCCGTATTTGATTACAGTATGCTGTCACTTTAGTCCTGAAAATGAGCTTTGCTTTCTAGCCTGCAGCTTGTCAAAAATTAAAACGGTGGTTATCTTTTCTTCATAACAGAAATGAATCTCCAAATATTCCAAAAGCAGTAGCTAAGTTTTGGCACATCATCTCCTGGTCTGAAACTGATTGGACTTTGCTTATCTCTGCAGTTGGTCAAGGAAAAAAGTAGACGCTCAGCCCTTCCCCGTAGGAAACGCCATGCCAGGCTCATTTAAACTGAACAGAACAACAACATTTCAAAAGTACATTTTTCTCAAAAGCTGAACACTTTGCAGAAAAGCAAAGCTAACCATCCTGATCAGACATCATTTCAAACAGTAGTAATTCAGTAAGAAATTAACTGCTGTTCACACCCCCCTCCGCCCCCAAGAGATTCCCACTGCATTTTACAACTGAGGAATTAAATACAGGCTCATTTTGTATTTCTGTTACCTGATTGGTTCCATTAAAGAGAGATGCAGTGGTGCTGGGCAGAGTGTAGCAGCCGCACACTGTTGCTGTTTCTCCTTGGTAGGTTTTAAAGGATTACAGCCGCTCCTTTGGCTTCTCTTGTGAGAACTATCCAGCAGCTTAATTAAGCAACTCTATTAACATCTCTTTTCTTACTGCAGCCTTACGGAGAATCACACTTCCCTGGACACTTCTGGTAGTTGAGTTAGTAAGCCTGGATGTTAAACCATGTCAGCTGTGTCCTTTGACCCCAGCTTTACCTTGGAGGGTACCTCTGGTTTGGCAGCCAAATTCTCTGCTTCTTTACCTATCCCTTCATCTAACAATGAAATCCATCCTCCAGTGCTTTTCAACAGCACACAGCAGGTTAGGAGCAGGAGAAACAACTGCCCAATTAAAATCAAGGTGTCTGATGTGCAGTAGGCAAACTGAAATCTGCCTGAGCTATCAGGGCAAACACCTTCAGGCTTATGCAATTAACCTCAGGATAATTGATGACCACAAGCAATCAAGCTGTGGTTGGGGGTCTCATGCAAGAAACATACGAGGGCATATCATTCAGTATTGACTCAGAGAAAAGGGCTCCACTGAATCAATAACACCATCTCCTGAAGTGCAGTGGGTTTCCTTCAAAATCTTCCTTAATTACCAGATGAAATCACCAGGTGCTTGAAAGACTCGAAAGAGTAGCTACAGGTGTGCTAGTGTTCCCAGTGCCTCTGTAAGCTGTTGCATACAAAGAATGGTAAAACCCTTTAGCTGACTGTGGGGAAGAAAAACATACCACTCAAAATCATCCCCTGATTATTTACTAGAATGATTTAGTAACAATACAGGCAAAAGCATGCATGGGGAACTTTATGGTACTACCAAAGAGATATAAAGAAAACAAGAAAAAAAAAAGAACTCTTATTCTGGAGTTCCAGGGGCTATGCAAAGAGCTGTACCCAAACCACTACTCTGATAAGACAGCAAGGGAACACCTCTTTCAAACAAGTCCTTCACCTTTCCTCCCCTCTACCTCTTACTCTTCATTTACCTTTCACTTCAGACTGAGAGCTTGGTAAAAGCTGAGTTTTCTTCTGCTATGACTTTTATGACTTCACCTTCACTGAAAGAACTGATTTTTATCTATTTATTAATTTTTAATGAGGACAGCTATTACATTTAATTCCCTGGAATTATTACCTTAATGTAACTGTTAGAGGTTCATTCCCAGCAGGTGTATTCTAGTGACCATAAGCAGCCACCCTGCCATAAGATCCCTTTTGTTTTCTCATTCCTGAAATTCCACACTGAGGATCAGATCTGGAGAAAACCACTTGATTAGCAAGGAATTTCCTTTTTTTTTTTTTTTTTTTTTTTTTTTTTTTTGCATTAGAGATGTAAGCTTTATTACATAAATGTTGTATCCCAGTGAGGTGGATCTGGTGTCAAAAGTGTCTGAAAGTTAGCAAAAAAACTTGTTGTAAAAGAGCTAATTAATAACAGAGCTCAGGGTGCTTAAGAAGCTGAGTCTATGGAGACTGAAGAAAGTATTTTTAAACCCATTCTGGAGCTGCAGTTATTAACAAATGGTTGATCTGCACAGACATCATCCTGTGGTTGCTTCCACTCTGTTTCCCACAGTGACCTCAGCAGCAAAGGGAAGCAAATCAGAAGAGTATTGAAAAATCAAAATAAAACCAAAATAAAAATAATTAGTATAGCCTATCGAGGTACTTGTCATGTCTGTGCACTTACAGCTGAGCTGAGTCTTGCATTCAAAATAACAATCCAATGGCATTTGCTATTGTTTTTTTTTTAATGTAGAAGAGGCACGGTTTTCACGAAGACTTACAGCACAACTATAAGAGCACACAGTGAATTTCCTGAGAATTTACAAGTACGTTTATTAACTGATTTACAAAGTAAAATTAGTTTAAAATATGGATCCATTAAGAAAATTGATGGCTTTGGGTTTGACCTTTTGTTTATTTGTTTCTGCAGCCTTGGTAGTGGATTAATCCAGACCTTCATCGTATTCAGAGATTGCAAGGATCTGCATTGACAACATCTGAAGGTTTTTCCAAGATTGGTGGCCTTTTCTTTCTTTTCTTTTCTTTTTTTTTTTTTACCTCTATCATACTTCTTATCAAAAATTCCCTCTTAAAAAAACAACCCATGTTAAATTTTTTCCTTCAGAGGATGCTATGAGGAACATCTGAAGATACCTGAGGAGCCCCCAGCTAGAACGGCCCTTTCACTTCCCACCAGGAGGGACAATTCGCTGCAGTTCTTCTGTGAACAGAGGGAAGCAGGCACTGCTCTGAGTGATGAATCTCCTAACTGTGTGCAGACGGATCAGTCCCACTGAGAACTGCCTTGTTGCGTTGTCGTGGGAGAGAAAAAATGTTATGCTTAACATCATTTAAGGCTAACCTGACATCACAAACGTTCAGAGGCTTTGATTATTGCATGAGATCATTGCAGTAAAAGGAGAAGACAGCATTAAACAATTAGGCATGTAGTACAGATGTAATTACTTGGGATACAGGAGATAGCAATATATGCTTTGTCAAATCAGTAGGAAAAGGATGCAGCTGTTGTACGCAGCCCCTGCTGAAGGTAATACAATGATTGTGATAATGCCTATATAATCTTCAGAAATGTAATATTGCAATTCTATTCATCCTCTTTCCACTAAGAATCTCAAAGAATTTAATGACTTCAATAAATTAAGATTCTCCTTCTGTTCAGATCAGGAAAATATTTTACGACTAGATCCACTTCTTTACAGAGAACATCAGAACAGAGAAAATCAGCAGAATTTTTGTTTAGTTTGATGGATTTAATCTCAGAGACTTTCTACACCATTAGGATAATGAAAAAAAAGGAGAAGCCAAACACATTCACGTTCTACAAAGGTACTGTTTGTATGCTTGCATAACGAACATACAACTTGAAACTTCAAACTGTAAACTAATAACCCTCTCAGAAAGTATTTGTTCCATCCACGTGTAGAGACCCAACAGTGGGTTGGGTCACCTTTCTCTGAATCATTAGGTTTTGACCATTGTTTGGGCAGTGTATGGCATGTGATAGATGTCTGGTCCAATACAGCCAATCCCATGTACAAACAGTTAGATAGAATGTCTCCAGTATCTTACCCTTAGGTGCATGAAAAGCAATTACTGGGGCACATTCATGCACTGAGACAGTTTTAAAAGTTTGTCTACATCTTAAGATAATCCCTGCATCAACTGCAAGGTTAAGGAGTGTGTTTCCCATGCCAGAACTCAGCTGGAACTTGAAAGGGCTGTGACCTGGAAACACAATGTTGCTACTTACGTAGCTGGATTTTTTAAAAATAAAATTTAAAAAGAAGAGATGTCAGAGCTCTGAGGGTTGAAGATTTTACTCTAAGGGTTACTGGTGAATTTGTCGTGATGAGACAATAAAAAAAGAATTGGGGAACTAAAAAGAGAAGTATAGAGAACGCGAGGCATACAGTGCCTCAGGGAAAAGAATGGCATGTAATTATAACCGCACGCTGCTCTGAAAAGATAAAGCTGCATGTAAAAAGGTTATAGGCTCAGGGAAAGGGAGGAAAGATGGATCTTGGAACTCCAAAAGAGGGGGAAAAAAGGATTTAATCATGTATCAGTGCATACTGTTCATTTAGGCATTCCAGTCATTTTCTTTCTCTCATAATATTTTGCAGTACTGACCTGTGAACTCAATGCCAGCATAACGTGGCCATTTCTAGCAACCTTGTTCCTCAAAGGTTCCTCTCCCCTGCTTAGATGTTATTTAAATGGTACCTTGGTATGGTTCTCTAATCAGCAGAAAAATTTAAAAAAATATAAGTCTGCAAGGCAGAGCTCAGTCCTTTTCAAGATCACATTTTTCATTCTCACCTGTCTGGAATTCTTCTAGTGACAGTATTTACAACAACTTGGCTTCAGAGACAGCATTCTGAGCTAAAGCCAGAAAAAGAAAAGATGCCCTTCCTCTCATCCAGATGACCCATTTGGAGAAGACCAATATCTGTGGCTCAATAGTGGCCAGACTTCAAAAGCATATGAGTGAAGCACTGAATGTTCTATCACAGGGAATCTGTCTCCACCTCAAAACATGAAGGTGATGGTATCTAGCTCATACCATACCAAATTTTTTCATATTTGGGCAGGTTTTCTTTTTCCACTCTCTTCTAAAAGCTGCTTATTTGAAAACATACTTAAAATGTAGTCAACACTACAACATGCAGCAATAAGGCAGCTTTGTCTAGAGAGTAAGAAACAAGATCAAGAATTTAGTTTCCAAACCCATCTCAGCTAAAGATTTGATGTGCATCTCCAGGCAAGTCCCATCAACTCTCCATACTATTGGAGAGACCTGTGAAATGCAGGGTAGCTGTACTGGAGATATTTAAATGTGCTGGGGCACTGAAAGCCATAAAGCTTGATTCTGGGAAGACCTGTTCATTTTTTCACATTGAGAAACTAATTGCGCCAGTACAGCTTTAAGGGCTTCTGTCCTCACAGTGACACTGCATTTATTTACGCATATTTATATGTATATATGCATTATTATAACTATAAATTGAGAGTGCTCACACTGACTCACCTTAAGTGCAAACAGACAAAATTCCCTTCAATAGCCAACAATTTGTGAAGTCATTAAGACAAAAAGTTTATAGAGGAAAAGCAAAGTTACTGCCATAAAACCCTTGTTGGTAACATACTTCATTTTCTGCTGCCGCAAAACATGAAGAATGGTGGAAAACCGAGCTGCAAGCACTAGAAATTGTCCCTTGAGGGAGCTGCAAAATAAAGTTTTTTGAAATATATCATAGAATTTATGGATGCTGTTCGTGCTGACGGGAATATGGCTTGCAGCCAGCCCTAAGCCTTAAGTCAAGTGCGTGACAGCCATCATATTCAGTATAGCATTTTGAGGACCTGCAAGAGGACAGTACGGTTACATTCCTCTTAAACAAAAACCAGACTCAGGAGAGAGAGAAAAAGGTAGAGGATGACAAGGCCTTATTATATTGTAAAAACCAAAGGAACTGAAATGAGCCCCAAACACAAAGGGGTAGCAAGTGTTGATAGAAGTACTTCATGGTGAAACATATGGCATTTTCTCAGCCACAGTGGTTGGGCCCTTCTGACTACTTATATCAGAGACTAAACTTGGCAGTGAGAATATTTTATGGCATATAACTAACAGCTCCACTAAGAGGAGAATTTCAAGTATTTTACTGTTAAGGGAAGAAGCATAACGAAGGGAGTAAAGAACATTTTCATTATGTCAGGCAGTAAAAACAAACCAGAAGAGACTGCCTACAGCAGTGGTTCCAGACCTGT